GATTTTGACCCACGCCAAGCCTAGGAGTAAATCATTAAATATATATTTTTAATCAGTTTTAATATTTAAATGTGTCTAATATTTATAAATTTAGAAAAAGGATATGCACTGTGGATAAATGTAATAAAATTAAAATTTTATAAAGGATATTTTGATGCCATTAGTTTTAATATTTTTATCAGCAAAATTGATCAAAACATATGAAAATGTTTTTTATTTCAATAAATTTTAAGTGTAAAATTAATTTTTATTATTAGTGTAAATTATAGAGCATGCAACAAATCAGATAAATTTTATAGTTATATGAATTTATCAAACATAACAAATGAAAAACAATATATGTTTTCTAATAATGAAATGTGTATATTGTCAGTGTAGTTTTATATATATAATAGACTATCATAATTAAAATATTTGTATATATCATATTAATCTAAATAATATTATTACGAAAAAAGGCTTTTAATACAAAAAAGAACATTAAAAATACATGATATGATAAGTCTAAATATTACATTTAGTTGGACGTAGATTTAAAATATATTTTAAAGGGTTTATGTTATAAAATTAATGAGAATATGTAAAAATTTCCATAATGGCATATAGTTTTAATTGAAATATTTTTATTGGTTAATTTAAATTAAATATTCCTTGAAACCCTCATTGAATGACACATAGGATTTTCACCTTAGTGTCTCCTCAGTTAATATATAGAGGATTAATAATTATGTATAATTATACATATATGTATAACTTTTTTAGCTTTAGTGATTTTTTTATTCTAATTATTACATTTAAAAAACTTTTATGATTATTTTTTCGGTATCCAAAACTTGTGAAAAATTATAGACACGATAATTGATTATGTACACATAACATAACTCTTTCCAAATGTATCAAAATATGTATCATAAACTTGTTAATAATCATATTTTTTCTAAATTTTGTATTTAATAATGTGTATCATTTTAAGATAGATAGTATATTATGATGTTAACATTCATTCTCTTGCAATAATCAAAAGTATAAATCAGAATCTCGAGTTAATACATATCATTTTTACAAATGGATTTAATTAAGTTCTTTA